TAGCTTTTGATTAAAAATTTTAAACAAAAATATGTATAACAAATATTGATATATTTAAAAAATCTTTGTATGTATTTTAATGTTATTTTAGAGTCACAGTAAGTTTATACTAGTGTGTAGTAATAATGAGTAGTTGGGGATAGAATTTGATTATTGTGTGTTTATTTCCTAGATTAGCTTTGGGAAGTCCTGGGGGGGGGGAGGGGGGAAAGGGGTAGGTTTGTATTATAGATATATATGTACATATATGTATGATTTTTTAAGGAGGTGTCCGGTGGAGCCTCAACTGCACAAGACGGGATGGTTGAGTGAGGAAGGGAAGTAGGAAAGAGGGAGGAAGGAGGAGTGGTGGTAGTTTGGGAGGAGGAAGGTGTGGTAAGTGGATGAGGGCGGTGCAGGGGGGGGACACACCGGACGCGTCCGTGAATGTATTGATTAGTGTTATTCTTTTTGGTTGATATTGTGATAAAAGATCTATGTTTTTGTTTTTAATTGAAAAATTAATAAAAAAAAATTATTTAGAAAAAAAAAAAAGAGAAAGATCCATAGAAACTTTGGAAAGAAAAAGACCCCTCAACCTTACCTTTTTTGCCTAAGGGGGTGGACCACTCAGGTTGTCTTATTAATGACAGAAGTAGAGCTCCCTAGTGGTGGGTGAGGGAGGTGCACCATAAGGTGCAGGGAAGGGAAGGAGCCCCCTGTGGGATGTGGGGGGAAGGAGAGTTAATGGGGGGAAATTAAGGGTGCCCTTTACACTTGACTACACTTTGACTAATGGGGATTTCACTGAAGAAACCCAAATGCCCTTGTTGCCTCACGGTGGGCAATGAAAAGGACACCCTCAAGTGCTTTTTCTGCCTGATCCACCCAGACACCCGCCAGGCAGAGGCTGCGTTTCCTGGTCCATTGAATGGCGGCCTGGCAAGGGGAACCAATCAGGGCTTCCTGCGTCCTGGAGAGGGGCTGGAAGGGGAGGGGGAGGATTCCCTCCTGGGCAGTCAGACTGCAGACCAGGAACCCAAAGGGGCCGAATGTGCACATGAAATCCAATCATAAAGGAGGAAAGTCCAACCTGGATCCAGAGACTCACCTGTCCTCAGCAGTGTCTCTTTCCCGTAGGACAGGTACTTCTCCAGCCACTCAATGCATTCCTTCTCCAGGTAGGCCTTACTGTACTGATTTTGTGCTGGATCAGCATCCCATTTCCTCTGGGTGATCTGGGCCTGGGGGACAGGAGCCACCCAGGTGAGGGTCTCCTTGTCAAAGGTAATGAAGGTCCTCCCATTGTAGCCATGCTGCATAAACCCTCCTTTGTTCCCATCAGCCTGGAGCTCACAGCCACACATCGTCTGCAATGTGTGAAAGCCTGAAATAGGAACAAGATGATGGTTTGGGGAATCCTCAAAATAGACACAGACCCCCTTCCCTGCAGGCACTTTGACACAGACACTGACACCCCCATTTCCTCCCTAGCAGTCAAGGAAAAGAAAGCCCCCATCACTACCTGCCCTTCTCCCCTCCCTCGACCTGCCTCCCTCCATTTCCCCCCCCCCCCCAGGATGGAGCCCCTGAACCTCCCCAGGAAAAGGGAAGCTGGAAAAGCCAGCCGAGGATCCTGAGGGACTGTGAGGCACTGAAAATCTGGCTGCAGTTTTCAACTTCTGAGAACCAGCTCTGACTTATTTCAGAAGACTCAAAAGCTAAGACAGAAACTGTCTTATTTCAGTTGAAGATAAAATCTGTTTGTGTTCATTGCAAGTTTGGCACAGAATTTAATATTTTTGCTGAAAAAAAGCACAGGGATCACAGTGAAAAGGCAAGTTTTTATCCTTAGCGTAAGAAGGCTGTTAATGCATCTCTACAGGTCTACGCAGGAAACAATTCTGCCCCATCTCTGAGCCTGGATGTTCAGGGGTTCCCCGAGGCCTGAAAAATAGTTCAAAGGTTTCTCCAGAGTCAAAAGCTTAAGAAAGGCTGCTTTAGGGAGGCTAAAATATATTTATATTTGTAACTGCTGTGAAGAATATCAGAAGCCACTTATTTATGTCTTTTTTCTTTATTTTCTTCAACTTGTTTTCTTGTAGTTTTTGATTTTTCTTTTATATTCTTTACTTTATGTTACTTTCTACTATTTTTTATCTTTTGTTGAAAAGGTTCAATACAAATTATATAAAAAAATTCCAAAGACGAACAGGATATCAGAGATCATTAAAATGGTACTGAAAACACAGAGGCTAATGTCATAAAGCCTTTGTGTAAATCAAGGGTGTGACCACATCTGGAATATTGTGGGCAGTTCTGGTCACCATATCTCAAAAAAGGCCAGGAGGGAGCTGGGGAAGGTCCAGAGGGGGCGACCCAGAGGACGGGAGGGTTGAAGCAGCCTCCCTTGGAGGAAAGGTTGGGACATTTGGGGCTGTTTGGCCTGGAAAGGAGGCTCCCCTCCACTCTGCCCGGTCTCCTTCCTCCTTTCTCCACCAGGGGGAGCCCTCTGGGTCCATCTCTGCTCCCCTGAGAGGCCAGCAGGGGGCCTGGAGGGATCTGGGGGGATCCTCAGGAATCAGGGGCAGAACTGGCAGATCTCTGGGGTGTCTGCCTGGGGGGGGGGATGGGCAAGGAAAGGGCAGAAGAAGGGGGGGCTGCACCTCCTTGGGATGAAAGGAGGGAAAATGGCTGATGTTTGTGGAGAAGGTTTACCTCAGCCCAAAGCAGCCTCTGGTGACCCAGATATTTGCTTGCAATCTCTCCCCTAAATCAGGTTCCTTGAAGGTGAATCTTGTGCCCCAAAGATGGCAGAAGGGGGGGCTGCTGAAGAAGGCCTCCCCCCTCCAGGGCAGCCCCACCAAGAGGGCAGCGCAGGAATCCAGCCAGAGGGACCAAGGATGGGAAGCCATCAGCGCTCTGAGCGACTCAGGAAGGGCCCCTCAGGAGGCAACGACAAGCTTATACTAATTTTTTAAAAAAGAATAAACATATTAAAACCCTTTTTAAATGTGGGGAAGCAGCCTTTCCCTTTGAAGGGACCCCCCCTTTCTCCCCCCTCTGGTTCCTGGGGAGGGGATTATGGGGCAGGAGGAGGCACCCGACCCATCACTCACCTTCGCTCTGATTGTAGCGAAGCCTCAGAGTCTCCAGGCGACGTCTGAAGGCCTCCTCATTGCTATATGATAGCTTGGTGTTCCTGTCCCAGTACTGGGGCTTCTCCTTCCCCACCTTCTCCATCCAGGAGACTCGAGGCTCCATTCTCCGGCTGTTGCTGTCGTAGTGAACAAAGACCTGACCGTCCACAAGCCCCATAATGACAAAGTGGGGCAGCCCCTGACTGGGGTCCGAGATGGCGGTGGAGAAATACTTCAGGGAGTGCGAGGAGGCGCCTGGAAGGGACCCAGAGGGGCAGAGTTAGGGGGCTCCAGTCAAGGACCCTCATCCTATGGAGGCTCCAATCTGAGGCTCTGGGGGGAAAGAAGGAAGAAGGAGGAGGAGGAGGAGGAGGAGGAGGAGAAGAAGAAGAAGAAGAAGAAGAAGAAGAAGAAGAAGAAGAAGAAGAAGAAGAAGAAGAAGAAGAAGAAGAAGAAGAAGAAGAAGAAGAAGAAGAAGAAGAAGAAGAAGGGGAGGAGGGGGAGGAGAGCTGGGGGGGAGGAGAAAGAGGGAAAGGAAGGGGGAGAGGATGGAAGGGGAGGCAGGAGGTAGAAAGAGGGAGCAACTGAGAGGGAGAAAAGCAGCTTCTGGGGGGGCTGAAGGGTTGGAGGGCAGGGAAGGTGGGGTGAGAGAGGAGGGGAAGGTCGTGTCCCCCAGACTTTACCTGCCCAAATTGCACACTCCCCCCTTCCAGCAAGGCCTTCCACAAAGCTTGGTTGATCATGGCTACCCAACTCTTCACACAATCAGTGACTCTCAACATAAAGGCCTAAATTAGAGTTTCTCAGCCACTTGGACTTCAACTCCCAGAATTCCCCTCACCCGGAAGAAACTCATGGGGGCCTCACCACCCTGGCCCCACCCCCTGCCCCCACTGAGGCTGCTTGGGAGTTCCTGCTGCAAACTCCCGTATTGGGTGGGGTGGGGGGCTTCTGCTGGGCTCCTCTCCCCAAACTCAGCCTCCCTATGGAGGATCCTGTCACCATTAAAGCCCCTCTGGTGAACCAAAGATAATCATACAACTCACCGAGGCAGCTCTCCCGCAGAGCGACCCCCACCCACACCAGGAGCAAGAGGAGAGCAGAGCGCAGAGCCATCCTGGCCGGGATCCCCAACTTGCCCCCCTTTTTCCGGAAGTCGCAGGCAGAGAAAGACGCGTTCCGTGTCATCAACAACGCAACAATCCAGAGCAAAAGCTGGTGATTGGCCAACCTCAACCAGTAGACAAAATGTATTTGCATGTCGTCATTGTTGCTAGGCAGACTTCCAGAAGGAACCGGATGGAGAGGCGGGGAAAGGAAAGCGAAAGTTCCATCAGGAAATCCCCTTCCAGGCATTCCGTCTCTTTTGGGGAGGGGCAGAAACGGGGGGCTGGGAAAAGCGGGAGGGTTACCTGGGCCTGGGGGGAGGGAATCAGGCGAGGGGCAGGGGAGATCCCCCCGCAGAGCCCCTGGCAGTGGAGGGGGGAATCAGGTGGAGCTGCCAAAAAAGCCAGTGCAATCTTGGGCGGCATCAGCCGAGGGGCAACATCAAGAGAAGACGAGAAATGATAATATCGGTTTATCCTGCACTAGTGAGGCCACCCTTGGAATTCCGGGTCCGCTTCTGGTCTCCACGACTCAAAAAAGATGCTGGGACCCCAGGAAGAGTCAAAGAGGAGCAATAAATACATTCATTAATATATCGCTACATATAAATTAAATGCTTAAATCTAAACTAACGCTCTCTAACTATTTAAATTATTTTAATCTCATTAGTACACTTCTAACACAAATTTTCATTAAATATATCGCTGGATATAAATTTCATTAATCAGTAAACGTTTACAAAAGCTCATTATCTATCCCAAAGATCCTGTTTTAGACTTTATTAATTTTTCAAATATTTAAATTTAAACTAGCCTATGTATTTTACTATTCAGGGCCCCCAAATTTCTCTTATTTAAACATATTAGCTCCGAAACTAAATTCTTACATTTCTCAACTATATTTCTATTCTTTTTCAATAATTCTCCAATTATTAATTCCATCTCATTCCAAAAAAACCACACACAAAAAAACGAACATACACACACAAAAAACACATATTCTTGCTATATTTCAGTATTAAATTCTAAATCATTTCATAATAGCCTCCCTTTTAACAAAACCAAAATCCAAGACAGTCCAAATCGCTGTAAAACTTTTACCATCCATAATTATCATCTCAAATTTAATATTTATATCTTATTCTGGGTTTCTTTCTATTCCAAATAGATTTCCATAGTCGAGTCTCTAGTTCCGCAAATAACTCCCATTGTCTCCTGCCACACTGTACACAGCAACAAGAGGTCTCCCATTATCCATTTTATTAGGCTGATATAAAAGTTATAGCCATTCTGGAAAACTCATGCCAAAACGTCATTTCCCATCTTTTTTAAAGTTGTATAAACTTTAGTTGAAATCTTTTTTTTAGTATAGTCCTCTTTAGTCAAGTTTTGCTCTTCTTCCAATAGTTTTTCCTCTATCACAGTGGTGGCGAACCTATGGCACGTGTGCCAGAAGCGGCACTCAGAGCCCTCTCTGTGGGCACGCATTCCATGCCCCGGAGATGGCAACTGTCCCTCTTCAACCAGCCGTCCGCTAACTCACTGAAGTCCCACATGGTTGGATGCATCCCAGCACCCATGTGCTCGCTGGCCTCTGTGTGCAGGGGCTGATGGTGTCAGGCAGCAGCCACCCCGGCCCCTGCCTCATCTTGCCCTGTGATAATGGCACCCCCACCCTGCCTTGCCTCGCCTCGCCTCACCCCACAGGACGAGCCTCCTGCCCACCGCCCCACCTACCAGGACCCCCTGGATCTCCCCCAACCCTGCCCGGCCTCCACAGGCGTCCCTCCCCACGAGCAACATTGAGGTGATCACGCCCACCTTGGCCACGCCCACTCAGTCTGCCATGACCACCACAGTCACGCTCATGCAGTGGGCCACGCCCACTAGGCACCCGGCAATAAATAAGTGGGTTTTGGGTTGCAGTTTGGGCACTCGGTCTCTAAAAGGTTCGCCATCACTGCTCTATCAGAAAGTCAAATGGTATCTGCAAATCAGCTTGTCCTTCTGAAGTAAACTTCTCCATTTCCTTATTATAGGTCGTTTGTCCTTTAATATCAAGGCTTTTTCCCAGTAACAATTGATAATCCAAATGTGCATTTGTTTCTTCCATCTCAGTGGACTGAGAACAAGTCTCTTGAATATAAACTGCAGTTTCACTTAAACCTTGTGCTTTACTTTGTCGATGTAAAGAAATCTTCTTTCTGCAGGCAATTATCATCTCCGTGTTTTCCAAAATTTTGTCCAAAATATACTTATAAATAGAATCTGAACAGGTTTCCTCCATTTTTATCATATTTGAAGACATTATCTTTTTGGGGGGAGACTGTATTTAAAGACAATCAATCAATATCCATCTCCTCCCAAGTTTCTTAGTCTTTTTCCTTTGTACAAATTCCAAGAGAAAAAAAATAGCAAGAACAATACGTAATTTCAGCAGAAGATGTCCCCTGACAAATATCAAAGTTAATCAAATAATCAGTCTTTTCGGACACCATAAAAAATAAAAGAAAACAATACTCTCCAAATACATAGCATTTTAAATCTCTCTAAAAAAAATTCTTGGGGCTCCCAAATATCCAAAAATAAAATCAGGCATTAAAACAAAAATAGATTTAGTCCTTTTCTTAAACTTCTCTTCCCCCATTTAAAATGCCGCTTCAACAAAAAGAGAAATAATTCCAAAAAGAAAAACTTTTCACAGAAAAAAAAAAGAAAATAGAGGTAAAAAAAAATCTCACTGAATCTTCCACGGTGGGTCTGTTTGCTTAGATGATCTTATGGCTTACGGTTGGCACAGCTAAATGATCGGCCATTTTACTGACCGATCTTTACTCCGTCGGCCCAAAGGAGATACTTGGACTACAGAGGACGCCGCCACCTTCCCTTGGCGCTTCTTCTGGGGAATCCTTGGACTAAAAGAATAAATCCTGGTTTCTTATTAGGATTGAACAAATTCAGTTGATTTCACATTTCCTGTAATGAACAAAGTATGAGAAACATTCAACAGTCTTTTCATTGAATCATCTGCTTTCTTCTTCAGTCACCTTTCCTCTGAGCATATACAGAGTGGAAATAAGGCCCCGTCTGTGAGGAAGAGGAGGGGATAGCTTGATTGCTCAGGGATATAAAATATAGAACAGAATATAAATCTTTGAACATCTTTCAGATCCAGAGTCTCAGCAAGGCGGGGCCTAACAATTTCCGGAAACACGGATGAGCTGGAGATTGGCGCCCCCTGCTGGTTGGCGGCTTTGCAGTTTCTCCTCTCCATTAGCAAAGGGGGGAAGCAACAGGAATCCCATCAGAAGAAAAGTCTCAAATCCAGTTTAAGCACCAAAACAGCCAGAAGTTAATCGAACTATCTTGAACTAAGCCAGCAACAGTCAGAACTGATTCAATTACCTCCCGGACTGTCTAAGCTCCCCTTTACTTTTTTGGCTTCCTTGCGAGACTGACAAACTACAGACCTGCAGCAGGCAACTCTCGACAATGATTAGGAAGGTCTCCCTCTCTTGTACTAAGTACAACAAATGTACCAAAAATGATAAATGTAATGGATGACGTGTAACACTAATCTTGTGAAAGAAGTGACATAGGATGATTGTGAATAACAAAAAAACCTTTCTGTATGAATCTCTGAGCCATCTTTCACTCGGGGTGCTTGATCTGAATAAACAGCTACCGTGACTTATTGGCTACTCGTGCAGGAAAAACAGAACCCAACTGAGGGTCTGGATCTTTTGCCTCCCTTTCCCAGTTCTGGTTCTGTATTTCTGCCCATGAAGAAGGCCAGGCTATTGGAGGGACTTTACAATGGCTGGTCAATCTCCGGAAATTGGCCGTCTGCAGGATGAGCCTCACCTTCAGATCCTCTCTTTTCGCTCTGGGTTCACAGCAGGCTCAACCTTGTCTGCTTTAAGAAACTGGTTGATTTACGATGCAGCATCTTGTGCAAATAAGATTCACACACAACACACCCAGAAGGCAAAATTCACCAAGGCTGCAGGTACCCCAATGTGAGAAGGTTATGGAAAGGCCCCTCCTGGGTTCATGACTGACGCAGTTACATCCACTGTATGAATTTATCCTTTGTGGGTCTGGAGAATCCCTGGTGAATGAGATGCTGGGCTGCTTCCTGAGCCAGGATTTTGGGAAGGAGCCAAACACAAGACAGGCCGAAGCAGCTCAGGACAGCCTTTGCCTGTGGGAATCAGAGGAAGGAGAGGCAGCTGCCTTGCCCAAGCATTATGGGGCCTCTTTCTCCAGGTGCAGCCGTCCACAGGCCTCATCTGGGGAGGCCCCTGATCTACCCAGAGCCCTCACAGCCTGTCCAGACTGCTTCTTTAGGGATGCCCAGAGTTTAAAGCCAAATATAGATAGCCATCCTGGGTGCATTACTCTAATGCACTTTACATGGGGCTGCCCTTGAAGAGCATCTGGAAAGTTTCAGGTGGTACAAAATGTGGTGATGTGGGCAATTTTATGTACCACAAGAAGGGCAGACGTCACACCTCTGCTCCCCCAGCTGCAATGATTGCCAGTTTGCTTTGGAGTCCAATTCAAGGTGCCGTTTGTGACTTTTGAAGCCCTTCATGGAATGAGACCCCCTCTTCCGATTACATCCATCCACCCCGTCAGCAATAGCAGAAGAGGTATGTTGTGGATTTGGGCTGTTAAGGAGTCACATAGACAAGTAGTCCTCAACTTACAACAATTGAGCCCAACATTTATGTTGCTAAGTGAGGAATTTGTTAAGTGAGTTTTGCCGTATTTCATGACTTTTCTTGCCATATTTGTTAAGTGAATATATATTATATTTATTAAATCACTGCAGTGGTTAAATTTTTTAACACAGTTGTTAAGTGAACGTGGTTTCCTCATGGACTTTGATTGTCAGAAGGTTGCAAAAGGGGATCACGTGACCCAGGAGTCAGTTGTCAAGCATCCGAATATAAATCACATCACCATTGGGATGCTGCAATGATCGTAAGTGTGAAAAACGGTCATG